AACCATGAGTTCTCATGTGACATGAGTATGAGAACTCCTCGTTGATCTCATTCAGTGGGCTCATTCTCTATTGAGCACCTACATGCTTGTCTTGGTGTTAGTCACACTAATGACTCGAGACCAGTCACTCTCTTTAAGAGAAGACATAGCACGTACTGATCTTAACGGACTGTCAATGCCTAATTGGCAATCCTATGATCAGGAACGTTTAGGATATGAATACGAAAGAGAATGGTCTCATGAATCTAACTTTTTTCGATCACATTCTCCCAATTACATATTCCTTGGACTTATCGTTTAAGCATATAACATTTATATGAGATGACTTTAAACAATAATCTTTGCCCTTTATATTATACTAGATTAGTTTAACATGTGAAATGTCTGTAAAGTATCATCATATGATTGGCTTTTAGGGCACATTTCCAACACTAAGGGGCGCAAAACAAAACGTTAGTGGACCAAGTTGATATATAAATAGTGGTGAAACAGTTATTCAATGTACTAACCCCCAAAGTTTTGTGAAAACTCATAGCATAATATGTAATGGGTTTTCCGACAACCCTAGCATGCCATAAAATCTTTCATGAAACATATATTATATATAGTGCTAAATAGTGGTATCATGTAATAGTATCTCACGGCCGAAGCCACCAACATATGCCCAATCAAAGCCAATAACTATATCTCCCGGCCTGAAGCCAATAACCATATCTCATGGCCCGAAGCCAATAACTATATCTCCTGGCCCCGAAGCCAATATACAAGTATCTTCGCCCGTAGGCAAAACAGTGACCACTAGATACGCACAAAAACATTGAATATACTCTTTCCAACATAAATACATATATCTCAAAAACATCTTCATAGCATATAGTCATCCATCACATATACTACAAAGAAGTGTAAAAACATGTTCATAAATAGTATATAGTCTTCCATCATATATACTACAAAGAACATAAGTTCAATAAAGTATGGTATTCCAAAATATACTCGGTAAAGCATGATAGTCATAAAGTGTAAATCTAATTTACTCATAAGACATTTCATAAAACGTAACCAATAAATCATGTTTTTTATGTATGCATTTCTAATAGTAAAAATATGCATTTTAGAAGGGGTCCACACACAGATACTCTGTCATCAAAGAGCTGTGCGAAATAGAAAGGGCAAAATCGCCGCTAATAATTGTACCTAAGCACATAAAGGGTTCAATTAATAAAACTCTACTCAAACAATTGAATTTCAAAAAACAGACGTAAAAAACGGATCCAGGACATCAAAATTAGCCTAGAAGGTGTCCGGACTGAAACTCGAAAAAAGTCAACAGAAAGTAAAAGTTGACGGGTTAACAGTCAACGGTCAAAGTCAACGGGTCAGACCTGGTCAACTGGGTAGGGTCACGGGCTGGCCAACGGGCTTGGGGTTTGGGTCGAATTGGTTCAATAGGCTGGGTTGGGGCTTAAAGGGTTTTGTGTTCAATGGGCCTGGGCTTGACAGCCCTGCCCAAGGGTTTAGTGGGTTGGGTTCCAACGAGCTGGAGGCCAAGGTTCGCGCGGCCTAAAATCCTAGGTTCAAGGAATCGGGCTGCAAGGTTAAGCCTAGGTTCATTAGGCCTAAAGCCCGTGTCAACTTGGCCCAAAAGCCTAGTTTTGGGTTAGGTTCAAAAGGGTTTTAGGTTTCTAATGGGCTTGGGTTTGAAGGCCTGGCCCAAAGCCTTGGGCTAAAGGGCTTAGGCTCCGAGTGTGGGTTGATCGACCTGGTTCTCGTCGGGAAAAAAGGCCAGAACCTCCCGAGCTCTGGTCGATGGTGATTAGACGAATTAACCTACGATTTACCAATTAAAAGGAAGATACGAGGAAGGGGAAAAGGTTTGTACCTTCGATTTGCCATGAAATGGCCGGAGGTGGCCGGACTTTGGGCTTGAACACCACAGGTTCGCCGAGCCTGAGTTCTCGATCTCGCCGAGCTTCACAGAGATGAGGGAGAGGGAGAAAGAGTTCGCTTGACAATGGTGGTGGATTTGTGATCGTCACCGGTGGGAGTGGGTGTGTGAGAAGAGTGCGTGTGTGTAGGTCGAGGAGAGAGAGAGTATGTGCGAGAAAGGGAAAGAGAGTGAGTAAGCTGAGAGAGGGTTGGGAGTTTCAGAGAAAAGGAAAGAAAGTGAGGGGAGAGGAGTAGGGTGCCACGTGGCAGACGGGGGAGAGGGGAACCGGGGGATAAAACACAGGGTGGGCCCCTTGGGCACACCATTTAACACCTAAAAGCAATATTTTAAACAAATAAAACTCAACCAAAGTGAAAATACGAAAATACCCTTCCGTTCCGTAAATTCCGGGACGGGTTGTTACAAGTTTTCAATTGCATTAGACTTGCCTCAGAAACAGAAGAGAAACGTTTCTGCAATGTAACCTAATCCTCAAGAGAAGTCTCATAATTCATTATTTCAGAAAAATGCCTCCTTAGTTGTGGTAGCAATAAGCATGTTCATGATAGCTGTATCATGATCAACCCATTGTTGAAATGACTTACTGGTAGAATCAGGACATAGAAGTCTACCATCAATATACCCAAGCAAATGATGTCCTTTCAACAATCGTTGGATTTTAGCACTCTAAGACACATAATTTGTGTCACCCAATTTAATAGACATGAAATCAGAAATGTTGCGAAGAATATTCATAGCTGAAGAGTCAGAGATGGGCATGATAAACTTGTACGATTGATGAATTCCAGACAAATGACAACTTCTTAATGGCGAGCGGAATTCGTAAAGTCTCAAAGATAGATCGCAAAGTCGACGAACTGAAGAATGAGTACCAAATGAAGTGTAGATGACGACATACGAAGAAATTAAACGCTGTTAAGCATATGGCTCACGATGATACCATGATCGAAACCATAAACCACCATGAATGTAACAGAGAAAGCTTGAAGATAAAAGCAAAGAGAGGAAGATTGATTTTCTTATTTATGTGAAGAATGAAAATTACAGACCTTATCCCTTCAGGATAGAATATATAGCTCATTACATAAAGCAAACTTACATTTACACCACTTAAACTATCTTAAGATAACACATCAGCTCACTTAAGTTGATGTCTCACTAGTGCTATCTATTAATGTGGACGTAGTCCAATTTTAAATGAATCCCGTTATATCTTGTTGTGTTCATGTGTGTTTGTGTGCTTTGACGATCAAATCTAAGTTGATTCAAGGTTAACTCATTTTGTGGATTAATAAGTATAATTTTTTAAAGTGAATATAGACACTTGTTTATAAGTTATATAATAAATTTAATTAAAAATTTTCCTAAGGCCCATACATTAGGCCTCTCCCAGCCACTCGATTACCACTAGCAATTTTTAGAACATTAACAAATATACATACAAGGAAATTGTCAAAAATGACTTACTTTCTTAAACCAAAGATACACAAAACATACACACGCTATGCATAGCAATATGACATAAATAGGATTTTTAGACCTTGAAATGACCTAATTGCTCTTGTATATAAATAGGTTATTTCCTCCTACCCAAAGGTCATTTGCACATTTCTCCGAAATCTCTCACCCAATTTCTAGCTCGAAGAACCCTAACCCACCTATCTTCTTCATCTAACAGCTCTCTCTCTCTCTCGCTCCTCACCTGCTGACCCCTGAGAAGTGCTGAGACTTTATTGGACCATCATCCTCCCAAAGCCAATGTACCGCCACACCTATACTAGAGACAAGAAGAACAACCATTTTTTGGGGTTAGAAAGCAGCCATTTTTGTTCTCTGGTAAAAAAAAAAGCTACCATTTTTTAAGGATGAGAAGATGAACCCATCTGCATTTTTCAAATGCTTTTCACATTCCCATCCAGTTTTTCAGCCATCAATGCTTCAAAGATCTGGATGGGACTCTCCAAGCTGAGGCTTTTTAGTGAAGTTTCAATCTTTTTCCCCCTTTCAATTTTTTTTCTGCACATTTCTCACCTGGCAATTGGAAAAGAGGAAACATATTCCCTAGAAAGTGACGCGGCAGCTGGACCCAGATATTCAACATGAACCTGTTGCTGGTGAGTATTTTGGAGGGAGTCTTCGTGTATTTTGGTGGCAGCTGGACCCAGATATTCAAAATGAACCTGTTGCTGGTGAGTATTTTGGAGGGAGTCTTCGTGTATTTTGGTGAGTTTTGGAGCAAATCTTTGAGGAATGTGGTGAGTATTTTGCCTCTATTTTGAGAAATTATGTTTTGGGAAAAGTTAAGAATGAATCTACAGATGATATGTGCAATGACGTCGGTTTTGTTGTGGATGTGCATCGTGCAATTAACGACGCTATTGGATATGTGGGGTCTAGATTCTAAAAATGTCTTAAAGATCTATAGTTTACAAATCTTGGACCTGAACTTAGATTATGGAAATCTCATTAAAATTCATCGATTTCCAGTGACATGCACAGGACATACACATGATATGCTAATAGATCTGAGCCAACCAAAAAATCAGAGCTCACAGTTCTCTCTTCAAAATATATAAAAAATAAATAAAAAAAAAGAGGACATCATCACCTATGAGCTTTTACAATTTATATTTGGGTATTTTCATCATTTCATTTTTGCACATGGTATACATTGATTGTGCATGAGCGATTTGTCTTATTTCAGTACAAAGACTAAAAAAAAATGTGTCATTTTTTGCATTTCATTTTTGCACATGGTATGTATTGATTGTGCATAAGCGGTTTGTCTTATTTCAGTTCAAAAACTAAAAAAAATGTGTCATTTTTTGCAATTTCCCTATAAATATGCATAAAGTTTAAGATAAACAGTATCTAAGACGGAATTATTGACCTGCACACTATGTGGTGATTACCATCGAATTATCTACCTCCAGTCAGCTTCAAATATTCTGCAGCCTTTCTATATGGGCCCTTTCTCTGGCCTCTCTAACTTTTTGATACATGTCACATAACTTAAGACTATTTAGCTTTGTCAATTAGCACTAATATTATTTTTGCACTTTGGGCAATGACGCAGCTAATGAGGTTATAACCGAAGCATGTCTATTGCTGGTTGAAAATTAGCATTAATATTATTCTAAAAATATAAATAAAAAAAATGAAAAAAAATAAAAAAAGTTTAACAAAATAAAAGGCCCTGACCCAACCCTGAAAACCACCACTGATCTGTAACATATCTGTCTCTCTCCATCCAATCCCTTCAAATTGCAGCCGCCCCATTTTTTTTCCACCGAAGTACATGGGCTCGTAGACATGGAGGATCAGCACCGCAAGACCCGACGCATTTAACTCAACATCCAAACTGAGTTTCTGGGTTTTGAAAGTTTTTATTTTCTGATTAAGAAAAGGTATTAATTAGATATTTATGGAGATTAACGATGCTCCAGTGAAGTCAAAGATGGAGAATGTGAAGTAATAGAGCAGATTGCAAGAGAGGAATTTGGATTATTTTATTAAGAAGATAACAGATTTGGATTAGAGAGCTACCAGTGTTACGTGGTGTTAAGTTTAGGGACATGTTTTATAAAAGGAATGTGCTATTTACACATCCCTTTTTATTTCTCACACTTTTTATCTATAAATTAGCTAGAGCAAGGGAAAAGAAGACAAGGGGCCTAATCCAAGTGAGGTGCATCAAGGATGAGCATGAAAATGTTATTGCTACAATGAACGTAGTCAAAGACAGATGGAGAGGTTATTTTTATAATCTCTTCAATGAAAGACATGAAATGAGTACTTCTTTGGGGAGTTGAGTAACTCATATTGCATAGAATTGTTAACTGAAAATATGACTTTAGTTCCTGAAACTCAAGTTTCTTTACATAAAACCTGACATAGTTTTTTTTACTTGAATAAAACTCATGAGTAGGCTCCACATAAGCAAATTAATTAATTTTGTTTGCCTTTACACATTTTGCACTTTTCATATGCCTAAAATACCCCTAATTACAGTTTCAATGTATACATTTAATTCTATGCAGATTTGAAGGGAGGGATTAATGAATAAAAAAAGCACTAATGTTATACTTTCCTTAAGATTTAGTAATTGTTTTTCAAATTTGCATATAATTAAACTTTTTAATTTAATCTTGTCATTTTCTTACCAAATGAAAATCTGAAGGGGCACTATAATATGACTTATATATAAAAAATATAGGCAAGTTATTTGGACATATGTATTAGTACTAAAATTTGCCTAGTATATGTAATAATACATGCAAAATAATTTACCTGTAAAATAAAGAATTTTATTTGATTCCAGATTTTTTTTTATTATTATTTTAATCTTTTAAAATTCAAAAATCTCAAATTTTTTTATAAAATCTATTTTAAATAATTAATTAAGAATTAGTTTAATTACAAATAAGTCAAAAAAATCCTTACGGATGACAACCTTGGATAAGTGATTATACTACAATTTCCTTGTACTCTTGCAAGTAATTTATGTGATTTTAACCTTATTTGCGTAAGTAATAAAAATCCTATCACGAGCTTTATGACAAGAACATTTGAAGGGAGTATTTATGTCATAGAGAGTGTTGTTTAGTAAGTCATCATCTCCTATGTATTTGATTCAGTTCCTAGTCAACATATTTGCAATTGGAAGATGATTGTGCGAGTTGGGAATGACACTAAAACTCTGCAAAAGGAATTGGCACTTATAGGCCCAAACTACACTCTGGGAAATCTTGGAACTTAAAAATTGTTTAAATTTTCCTTTATATATAAAGAGCTTAATTTCCATCCCTATGCTTTTAAGAGATGGATACTCAATATTGTTTGACAATATGAGTTGTACTTTAAACTTGAACGGTCGTGTTATCTCTCATTGTAATATGATCAAGGTACTTTTTCACCTAGAGACTTGTAGTGGTTTGCACTGTATTGGGAGCAGGAATACCTCAAAACCCTAAAGAGCAAGAGAAGAGATTAATCAAGTTAAGATGTGACATCTTAAACTTGGACATGTGAACCTTGATAAGATTCACAAGATGCCAAAAGATGAATATCACATTAAGTAATAACCAAGTGGTCACTTATGAGTCTTGTTTAAAGGGAAAGATGTCCAATTCTCCCTTCACTGGGTCAAGAGAATGAGTCTCTCAAGTATTAGGGTTAATCCACACTAATGTACATGTGGACCTATGTCTACCACATCAAGAAAAGGCTTCTCTACTACATCACAGTGATCGATGATCACTCTCCGTTTGACTATATATATCTCATGAAACACAAGTCAAAATTTTTTGGAAGGTTCAAAAAATTCAAGAATGAAGTAGAGAATCAAGCTGAAAAACAAATAAAGGCCCTAATATCAGATCGATGGGATGAGTATCTGATTAATGAATTTCTAGATTACCTCAGAGTGTGGAATGGTATAACAGTGGACTCCACCAAAAACTTCTTAACTTAGTGGAGTTTTCTGAGAGGAGAAACCAAATGATTTCCGATGATCTACCATTATCATTCTAGGAATATGCACTACAAAACAACAATTTATTTGCTTAATAAAGTGCCTTCCAAATTTGTTTCACATACGTCCCCTATATGAGATATGGCATGGCAGAAAGTCAAGTCTTAATTATTAATATTTGGAGTTGTTAAACATACATTAAGAAGATTCAAGATGACAAGCTCGTGCGAGATCAGTCAAATGTTACCTTGTGGGGTATCCCAAACAAACTATGGGATACGAATTCTACCATCCTGAAGACCAGAAAATATGTGTCACCAATACTGCTAAGCTTCAAAAGGATGATTTGTCAAAGAAGTTTTAAATAGAACGGTGGATATTAATGAGATTAATGATGAACCACAAACAACCACTCAACAAATTGACAACCATGCTCCAAAACCCGTGTTCCACGTATATCTGAAAGGATCAGCAACCTACCTCAAAGGTATTGTATGGATAAGAGTTTTGGAGAGTTGCACTTTCTTAATGACAATGATAGAAAGGAAGGCCCTACAGACTACACTGATTAATGTCGACATTAATTAAAAAAAGGGCAAGAAGTCATAGTCAAATATGAAATGGATTCCATGTGTTAAAATCAAGTCTGGATTCTAATAGACCTTCTACATGGTATAATACCAATTGGAAACAAATGGGTCTAGAGAATGATAGGCGCCAATGAGTACATGGAAACTTATAAGGCTAGACTAGTAGCGAAAGGCCACAAATAACAAGTGATTGACTATGAAGAAATCTTCTCTTATGTAGCCATGATTAAGTCCATCCAGATTTTGCTTGCTATAGCTGCATACTATGATTAAGAGATCTAGCAAATGGATGTGAAGACAGCCTTTCTGAATGACTACCTAGAGGAAAAGCTCTATATATATGACTCAACCTGAAGGCTCCATGTCCAAGTTTGAAAAGACTAAATTATGCAAGCTTCAGAGATCTATTTATGGACTCAAGCAAGCTAAACGATTTATCTTTCATCACACTCTATGTGGAGAATTTTCACGCTTAGCATGTGCACAACACAATTTGGGTGACCTGGAGCACGTGTGGTTGTTAAACTTCATAAGCGGAACAATCTGGACTTATTTATATCATGATGAGAAAGTTGATTGTGTACCATAAATCCAATTGGTAATATATAGAGTAACTCAACTACTTATAAACATATACATGCAAAGTCCATTCTTTTGCAATGCGGAATTCAGATTCTAGAAAATTAGGGATTATTGGATGACAAATCTAGTGTTACGATTGATGATGTCACAAGAGTTGATAAGGAAATTACGAAGAAAGGCCCACTAGGGGAAACTGGTTGGGTACTGCCAAACTTCCCAACCGTATGAGGCATTAAATTTGGTTGTGGGATTATGCGACCATGATTATGAAAAAATTTTAGTTGTGACGGGAACACGGATGGTCCATCACATATTTTTAATTAAGTGGTGGAAAATTTTAATTTTTAAGTTATTATCTTTTAACACACATATCCTACCATTTATATAGAGATAAGTGGTGTACCGGCTCGTATGACGATCACATTGAAAAATCTTTCCATGACTACACAGCCTCTACAGCTGTGTCAGTTTGATAAATATACATGGTGTGTTGTGTTGTGAAAATGCCATCCAACGCGTAGAAATTCGCACACCGTGGAAGAAAAACATAAAGGCCCTGAACCGTTGAGGGGTGACTGACGACCGTCCAAGCGAATTGCCTGCCTGACCGACCTAACAACGACAAAATATTTATCAGACAAACGGAGAGAGAGAGAGAGAGAGAGAGAGAGAGAGAGAGAGAGTGATCATAAATTAATATCTCTAACTGTATTGGATGTGATACTCTCCCGCCCTCCCTATTCTTTCTTCTATATAACAAGCCAAGCTCCAGCCCTACCAACATATACGGATATCTTCAATATCTTCCAGAGAGAGAGAGAGAGAGAGATCTAGAGAGAGAGAGAGATCAGATTAATTTAAATAGTTGAGGAGGCAACAACCACTCATACACAATTGCTGCTAGGTAGCTTGGCAATTTCATTACGCAAATTAAGTGGTGAATGTTGCCTCCCTCCTCTCTCTTGTAGTACATCTTTTTTGTGATTATCTTGCTAGCTACCTTGTCTAGCCTTGCGAGATTTTCTGGAAAGCTCTTTCTTTCACATCAACAACCAACTAGTCCTCCTCAGGAATTTGGGAAGATCAGAAGCGTTTACATTATACATACATACATACAAAAGATTTAGGGAAATTAATATGGGTGCTCCTTTGTCTGCTTGGCCTTGGGAATACCTAGGCTCCTTCAAGGTATGTATACACTACTTACCTTTCTTTTGTTTTTCCTGTAATTTTGTATTTCTATTACATATTAGATTCAGAATAATTAATTGGTACTGATACATATACGTATATATGGGATTTGGATGAAATAATTACAGTATGTACTGTTCGGACCCTTGATCGGAAAAGTCTTGTATTCAATAATCCATGAGAAAGAGGATCCCCTCACACTACTCACCAGCAGCTGGTGTCTCCATATTCTCCTTCTATGCATACTTCGAGCCGTAATTCACCAGCTATGGTCTAGTTACACCAACATGCTCTTCCTCACAAGAAATCGCCGGATCATCCAACAGGGGGTTGATTTCAAGCAGATTGACAAAGAATGGCACTGGTGATCCATTCATTCTTTCATCTTTTACCTTAATTACTCACTGTAATTTATAAACTTGGATCCGTTTAATGAATTAGATGTTTGATCTGCTATTTTTTGTGTTTTTATTTTTATTTTTATTTTTTATTTTTTTATATGGCAGGGATAACTTCATAATTCTTCACGGTCTGATTGCCTCCATGGTCTGCTGTTTAGTGCCATCATCTCTGCAAAACCTACCCTTGTGGAATACAAGAGGATTTATTACCACTCTGGTACTTCACGTGGGAGTTTCGGAACCTTTATATTACTGGGTGCACAAACGTTTTCACAGCAACAACTACTTTTTTGACAATTACCATTCACTTCACCATTCATCTCCAGTACCACAGACCTCTACCGGTAGGTTGGACACCATTAATATTTAACTACTTACCACCAAACTCATCTATCATTCTGATCAACATGTCCTATCCCCATACCCTTTCATTTATTTTTTGGGATCTTCTACGCTATCCTCAAGTAACCCGCTGTTTTAACTCTTAGATCTTTATTTAAAAATACGAAAATTGAGATCTAATAATTAAAACAGCAGGAATATCTCTTACATGAGCATCCTAGAATTTTGCTCCCAGTGCTTTCTTCATTTCATTTTTTTTTTTTTTTTTTTTTTGTCAAACTTTCTTCATTTCATTTGCAGTTATATATTAATTTTTATCATTTTTTTTGTTTTGTTTTTTTTATTTATGCAGCTGGAAATGCAACCCTGTTGGAACATCTGATATTGAGCATAACTATTGGAATTCCAGTTTTTGGTACGAATCTGATGGGTTTTGGATCAGTGTGCATGATCTATGGCTACGTTTTGGTTTTTGATTTTCTGAGATGTTTGGGGCATTCCAATGTTGAGGTCTTTCCTCATCAACTCTTTGAGAAAAAACCGTTCCTCAGATATCTTCTCTATACTCCAACGTAAGCAATTACCCCACTACACGGCGCACACACATATAATATATACATACACAAATATATTCATACACATATATATATATATATAGGTTCTCATCCTTCCTTATGCTATTCCATTGATTAAAATCCTATTCATTTTCAATTTTTGATCAAGGTCCTTGGGTATTAATATCATTAATTTTTTCAATAATAAATTTTTTTTATTTCTAAATATATTCATTTAATGTTAAAAATGTTACAATTAGGATATTTATATTTATGACTAAATTTTTTATCATATATTTTTATTTTTAGTTTGTACCCATTTTTAATTTGTAATTCTTTTTGAATTTGTACCAATTTTCTTTTCAGTTTTAATTTGTACCCATATTTTTTTTTTGTGCCCATATTTTTTAAAGTTTATTTGTATTTGTACCCATATATTTTTTTTATTTGTATTTTTTATTTTTGCTAAATGTACCCATATACTTTTTTTATTTATACTTTTTATTTTTGCTAAGTTTACCCATGCTAATTATATGTACCTATTCATGTAAAACTTTTTATTTTGTTATATGTAAAATGTACCCTTTTTTATATATAAAATCTATTAAATTTTTTTTAATCCATTTTTAAACTTATATGGGTACATTCTTTTTTCATTGATTTTAAAATGTATTCATATCAAGTTTAATCGAAGAAATTTACTAATGTTATTAAGCCTAATACATTTTTTTTTTTTTTTTTTTGTGATTTTGAAGAATGTACCCATGTTTTGATACAATAATTTTTTTGGTTAATCTTGATGAATGTACCCATGTTTATATCTATATAAACACACACAATAGTATATTTATATTTTAATATTTTTAATCCCACAAATTATGGTTTTTTATTTAAAATATCATTTATATAAACAATTAAAATTTCTAATTTTTAATTTAAAAATATAGTAACGTACATAGAAATAAATTATCACATTGATTTCAGAGACCTCAATAAAAAATTAAAAACCAACAAGGTTTCAATCAAAGAATATTTATAGCTAAGGACCGCATCCAAAGTCTCCCATATATATATATATATATATATATATATTACTAAGAGTGTTGATAATGTTATGCCAAAAAACCAAAAACATCATTAATCTAAATAACAACAACAAGTGATTGTACTACGTATGCCATGATTCAATATAATATATATATATATATATAAATATCCTTTTTTTTTTTTAATACCAAAGAAGAAGCCTAATCACATTCAATACGTACTGTCGACTCAAAATTAGTATGTTGAAGCTGTAATTATGGCATATGGATATGCAGATACGTAATAAATGAGTTGGATTTCTAATTATGGTGATTCGAACACAAAATTAGTATTTTGAAGCAGTAATTATACTTAACAAAACTCTTTTTTTAACTTGTTTTGTTTTCCTCCTTATGGCATATGGATATGCAGATACCACAGCCTGCACCATACTGAAATGGACACCAACTTCTGCCTTTTCATGCCTCTCTTTGATGCACTGGGGAAGACACTAAACGCGAAATCCTGGGGACTACAGAAAGAGATTAGCTTAAATGCAGGTGGGTGCGAGTAATTATTTAACAGCTAATTTGAATATCCCAATTTGTGGATAAGATTTTGACATTGACATGCTAAATATCTTCCAAAATAATACGGCCCTGCATACATAATGCTTTGACAAAGGCTGACTGAACGTATGTGCCTCTCCTGCAGCCATACATTTTCACATCATGCAATTCAGTGACGCCCGTATAACAATTAATGCATTGACAATGAATAATAATGATGCCTGCAGGTAAAAATGGCAAGGCACCGGATTTCGTTTTCCTCGCGCATGTGGTGGATCTGTCGTCGTCTTTGCACGTGCCGTTTGTTTTCCGATCATTCTCATCGATTCCATTCTCAATGAGACTCTTCTTAGTGTTTGGTTGGCTTCCAGGCATTGTAGCCATGCTAGCAATGTGGGCATGGGCTAAAACTTTCCTGATTTCTTTTTACAACCTCAGAGGCCGCTTGCACCAGACATGGGCTGTGCCTCGATACGGCTTTCAGGTTTGCTCTCTTATATAACTTTTTTGCTACATTCAAAAGTGTTTTCTTGTCAATCGTTCGTATTGTGAATCTGAACGATTTATCAACTTGAATCTTATCTGAACGCGTTTTGTATATAAACATTAGCCTAACTAGGCTATAATTACTAGTTAATTTTATTGCGATACTGATAATCGGAAGAATTTGCGGTTTACTTTGCAGTATTTTTTACCATTTGCTCTAGATGGCATCAATAATCAAATAGAGCAAGCAATCCTTAGAGCTGATAGAATGGGGGTCAAGGTCATCAGCCTTGCAGCATTAAATAAGGTTGGTATCCCAATTCCTTTCCTATTTATTAACCCTTTTGTTTGGAAGTGCAGATTCAATCCAGATCTGATGAGCTCTGATTGTGGTTGTTGGCCTTACCAATATTAATTCTGAATAAAATTTTGGTTGTTGTTCATTTAAAACTAAGTAGTGTAAATGTAGTTAGACCTTTCACTTGAATTAGTTGAGAGTAGAGGCGACATTGAATCAATATCATGTTATGATCTGTTAAAACTAAAACACCCCACACCAACGGCATGCACATGTTTTCTGCTCCGTTTTGGGTCATGCACATAGTCATTCTTATTTAACACTCGATCAACCAAGTTCATTCATTCTAAAAATTCAAAATTTTAGGGTGCTTCGGAGTGAGATATTTTGGGTATTTTATCAGTTAAATCTTGGTTTTTGTATTTTAAACAAAAATCTAACTGTTAAAACACATGAAGTCTATCATACTTCAGAGTATCATAGAAAATCTCCTACTTAGGTACTCTACCAACCAAGTGACCACATGGGACTACCATACGTATTGATCTACCAGTCGTGCATAAGATAAACTGTTGAAAAAGATCTCAAATTGGAATCCCCCAAATTAAGCTGTTAATCGAAACAAAAGAAAGAATTCCTTTGGCATGCTTAAAGGGGGAAAATACCTAAAATTGTTCTCATATGAAAATAGATAAGATAGGTGTAGAATGTGAAAAACATGCATATTGATGTGGTTAACTTATTAAATTATTTATTATTACCCAAACCTAATTGCATTCACGTTTATGGAGATATCCAGTTAGAGAGGTCACATCCTCCCACAATTGCGGCCAAGTAAGAATAATATTTGGCTACTCAAATATGAGTAGGAATTCTTACTCAAAATTCTTAGTGTTTTAATCAGAGAGATTTGTGCTTATGATCGGAACCATTCATATCATCTCTGCAAAAAAAATATTATTTTAAAACTAAGGTCGTTTAGTCAATATATTGTAACAAATACATAAACGGTTCATAATTCTTTTACCAATACCGCTCATTTGTTTTTAAACAGTTTGATGACTAAACAACCTTAGTTTTAATTCATTTTTTTGCAGAGACGATCTTTATAGGGTGATTTATAATATAAACGATTTTGATTATAAACACGAAGTTCTATAAATTGAGAACGAACAATTTTGAGAAATTTTGAGTAAGAGTTTCTACTCATTTTTGAGTAGCCAAGTATTAATCGGCAAGTAAATATACATGAATGGGGGGTTGTTGAGGGCCAAATTATATTAAGCTAAAATTTCGCAATTTTAGTTGTGGTAACAATCAAATCATAATTGTAAACTGTTATTGGATCAAATTTGGGGATTGTATTGTATATTTACTCATATAACTGCAGCAAACCCATGCAATTTGTGCTTGTGTATATTTATTAATATTAATGTGGTGGGCATGCAGAACGAAGGACTGAATGGGGGCGGAACGCTTTTTGTGAACAAGCATCCAGACCTTAGAGTTCGAGTGGTCCATGGAAACACATTAACTGCTGCTGTCATTCTCAACGAGATTCCAAAGGATGTCAAGGAGGTTTTTCTTAGTGGTGCTACCTCCAAGCTTGGAAGAGCTATTGCCCTCTATCTTTGCCGTAGGAGAGTACGCGTTCTGGTGAGTATATGTTTTCCATTTTCAGTTCACCATCTTTACTTATGCAGACGACGATGATTGTGTGGTAATGTTAAGTTTTGGAGTTCTTGTGTAAAAAAACATTTTCTTGTCAAAAGTAAATTAATTGCTCGCATAAATGATTTTATGAAGAATCTAATATAAGAGCAAGCTGCCCAGCTTGAATCTACATGTGTGTGTGTGTGTGTGTATATATATATATATATAGTTTTTATGGGTTAATTATTAAATCGATCTATATGCTGTTAGGATACCATACCAGATGGCACAATAAGATAGTGACAAGTGTACAAAGGTTGTTAATAGTTAGTTGTTAGTAATAGTATCTTGTAAAAGAAGAAAGGCAGTTAATGAAATTGTACTTGGTGTTCTGTTATCTTATCACTCTGTACAATCATAGAAGATGTAGAGCAGGTTCTAACATGTGCATATACCCATGGTGCAGATGCTGACTCTGTCAACGGAAAGATTTCAAAAAATTCAGAAGGAAGCGCCAGCAGATTATCAACAATACCTTGTGCAAGTAACAAAGTACCAAGCCGCGCAAAATTGCAAGGTAAGCGAATGGTGTACACATTGTCTGTAATTAAACTTAGGGCACCTTTAGACAATCGTACATACAAATTACGTTTTCTACAGTTTTAACCCTAAACCCTAAACATTTTGGTCGAATCAGTGAGATACTGTTATGCACTTTGGAATGTTTTGTTATCAAGAAACAAGCAAGCAAAGAGCCTTAGTTGTGAATCTAAACCTTATATGAATTATGGCAGACATGGATTGTGGGGAAATGGATCACACCAAGAGAGCAACGTTGGGCCCCAAGTGGAACTCATTTCCATCAGTTCGTGGTTCCACCCATCTTGCAGTTTAGAAAAGACTGCACTTACGGTGATCTTGCAGCCATGAGGTTACCTGATGACGTTGAAGGCCTTGGCATCTGCGAGGTAACTAAATTAACCTCTTTACTTAATTAATTAATCAATTATCTCCTGTAGAACATCTTGATATATATTAATTGATTAAATTATTATATTGTTAATTTAATTTTTGGTAATATGCGACATGCAGTACACGATGGACAGAGGAGTAGTGCATGCATGCCATGCGGGAGGCGTTGTTCATTACCTGGAAGGTTGGAATCACCACGAAGTCGGGGCTCTGGATGTTGACAGAATCGACCTTGTATGGAATGCTGCTCTTAAACACGGTTTAAAGCCTGTTTCATCGAAGCCAACTTAATTTACTGTTTCATACACCGGAGTCATGTATTAAAGCTTTGGGTTGTGTGACATATGCACTACTGGATATTTATTTATACCTCAATGCAGCAAAAGCATCCATTTCTATTTTAATTTTATTTTTAACATGCAACTTTACTCATGCACCTGAGTTCCTAATATTTGATCAATTCTTTTTTCATATCGCAGAATATATATTTCATATGAATCTTGAGTCTCTGTGTTAAGGAAGCTTTCACAAGAAAGTAACATTTCAAAAATTTAAAGTGAGACTGATTTGTGATTTTGGCCTATAATAACCTAAAACGGTGCATTAACCTACTATATATATAGTAACCTAAAACCACAACTACAAAATTTGTATTTTACTAGCCTTCCTACACTTGTAGAAAAAACTGCTTGTGCGACAAAACTTTAAGCGACGAAGTATATTTCGTCGCCTAAGTAAGCTTTGCACGACAAAAAAGGGATTCAACGCACCAAATGTTCACGAAATAAAAAACAAAAATTTTACGCGACGAAGAGATTCATCGCTCAACAGGTGTTTGCCGAAGACCTAGATTATTCATCACGCAAACTCTAACAAAATGAGGATTTGGCGTTATTTTTTATGCGACAAACGAATTTCTTGCACGAGAAATACTTAGTTGCCCTGGATGAACTGCGAGACGAACCTCCTTCAAGCTTCGCCGTGCAAATTGTCTAAAATGGTCAGTGAGACAATAATGGCAAAAAAATAAATGCTACGAAGAAGAAACTTTCGGCGATGAAGGCATGCATAAAGAAGAATGTAGGGGTAAGAGTAAAACTTACCCTAGCCTAGAGATCAAAGGCAAGGGCCACCTGCTTGTGGGTGTTCCCCGCAACGCCCCCCACAGCATCCGCAACCCTTTCCCCTCGAAGGATTCCCCTATAGATGTTTTAGAAAGGAATTAATCTCCAGGGGGAGGCGTCCCCAGAGCGTGCGACCGTCACCATGTATGGTCGGGCTTGACCCCTCTAACTGCAGAGGAGCAGAAAGGCTAACCGCCAAGCTAATAGAGACAGGAGCATCTAAGTCTCCAGCTGCCAGACTTTTTAATGCGGGGAGGAAACGAAGAGAGGATTATTGAAATCTCAAGCACAACTAGACCCAAGGAACATATAGAGAACTAGTCTCTGTTTATTCAAAATATATCATCCCCCCTTCCTTAACAATTCTAGCTTTTTAATAGGCCTAGCAACAACCTAATTAAACACTAGCACAACTTCCTAGTCCACTACAACATAAGAAATAATAATCACCAAGTTCCGACCAAACAACTAAAAAACACAATATTCTAAAGACTTGATTACTAGGGATATTAACTAGATTTGAAAACTTAAAGGACCATCCCGAATATCAAGATCCCTACTTAATCAACCTCCTTAATGCACTGCATTTGACTCCTCTGCTTGGAAAGAATTCGACCTCGAATTCAAGTCATGGGTTGAAGAGAATCCCAAGCCTCATAATTTGTTTCTTGACCCCTTTCATTTGAAATTGGTGTCGTCCACTCCAATAAAAAAGATAGTTAGAATATTTGCTTGTTATTGGATTGCAAAAATCCTCTCTATCTTATTTGGCTTTGCCACCCAAAGATTCCTTTCACCATATTTCATCTCATTAACAAGATCAACTAGTTTTTCGGGCAACTTCACACTAAAGGCATAAGCTCCAATAAAATCAACTTGTTCACTAATGCAATTTACCTTGGTATGGAGCTCACAAATGGCTCTCTCATATTCAATTGCACGTTCAAGAACTCTACCAATCATATCAACAAAGTTGACAGAACCTTCATCAACCTCATCAAGCAATTCGAAAAACTCCTTCGCATCCACATGAACAGCTAGCGAATTCTTTGCTTCAACTCCACAAAATGCATCGATCCCAAATTGTTCAGTTTGCTTCCTAGAACACAATTCATAATCATCTTCAAGGCAACAATCAAATAGTGGTGGTAGATTTACATTCAACGAATCTGACACACCAAAATAACCTCCACAACTTGAAATCATTCAAAATACATCATCCCCCTTCCTTAACAATTCTAGCCTTTTAATAGGCTTAGCAACAAACTAATTAAACACTAGCACAACTTCCTAGTCCACTGCAACATAAGAAATAATAATCACCAAGCTCCAACCAAACCACTAAAAAACACAATATTCTAAATACTTGATTACTAGGGATATTAATGAAGGAAATATTTGTGAAAACTAGTTCATTTGAGCAACATCTATGCATGCAATTAACAATTAAAAAGCAGAATCATGCTTGTATGCACTCAAAAATAAAACTTTACCCATGAAATTCAAGGCCTGGTGAGTATGGTGAACCAAGACTCAACTCAAGAACAAAGTGAGTTGAGAAATATTATACCTTTGTTGATTCCTCTTTGCATAAGTAAAGGCTAATCACCCAATAGATAGGGCCTTCATCCCTTACTTATTAGCTCCATGGATTTCTTGGATGAGGATGGTAGAATGGATTCTCCAAGTTCCCAAAATAGAGAACCTCTAGTCTCCACACCAAGGAGAGCATTGATGAAGAGATGAGTGACCTACAAGAAGTAAGATTGCTAGCTAATTTCCTCCAGGGTGGCTGGCCTCTTAGAGGGAAAAGAGAGCTTTGTGTTCTCATCTTTTCTCCAAAAGAAACCCTAATGATGAAATGTTATAAAGTTCTTTATATGGTCCCTTCAATTAAGTGACAAAAGAACCAAAACCCTTCATCCTATAATGTAGCCGGCCTTAAGGATTCATTGGGCTTTCAAGCCCTTTGTGTTTTCAAGTTGTCATACAACTTGAGTTAATGGGTTTGACATTCAAATCCCAATGGGCATTGCGGCCCAAAACTAACCCAAGGTCTATTACCAACTTATTCGTTTGATTAATTAACATATTAATTAATCATAGCCATAAATAATTAAACCATTTAATTATCCTTACTCATCTCCGTTGTTTCTTCAATCTCTACCTTACACGGTGTACGATCCATTAGGTGCCTTTTAGCGAGGTAGTGGGCGATTAGAACTCTTCAAATCAATTGTGAATTGAAACATCCTTTAAATTCTCTCTTTAGTGAGTATACACCTATAAGGCTTCCACAAACCATAAGTGACACCTAGCAGTATGTTGATGTACAAAATCGGCTAGGACTTTGGTACAACAGAAAGTGTGAGGTTTATGACCTTCGCTAGGTTGCTCTGGTCATTAGTGTGGATAAGTATGTAAATGAATAGAGATAGGGAAGCAAACAACACAAGATGTACGTGGTTCACCCAGATTGGCTACGTCCACGGAGTAGAGGAGTTCTCATTAGTTGTGAAGGGTTTACACAAATACATAGGTTCAAGCTCTCTTTTAGTGAGTTCTAGTGAATAGTTTAGTACAAATGACATTTGGGATTATTGTGGGGAGAATGATCTCCTTTTATAGAAGAGAGTTTCTAGCTTTGTTCTGACATTGACATGTGTCGTGTTGTGATTGGCCTCTGATATCGACACGTGTCGCGCTGTGATTGGCTTCTGATACCGACATGTATCAAGTTGTGATTGGCCTCCTGGTTGGAGGAAAAGTCTTGTGGGTCCTTGACGGTATGATGTTGACCGATGTTTAGTAGTTTCGGGATTGGTCAAATATGGTACAAACAGTGCTTCCCTAAGTTCCCGAGTGAGGGAAGCTCCTCGGTTGGGGACTTGCAAGATCCAAGCAATTGAGTAATCACTAAACTTCCAAGTATCGAAGTGTGGTGTCGCCTTCACTTGCCTTCTCTGTCCTGTAAGTAGATGTGGCATCTTCTCTTGGAAGTACTTTTCCTTCATCCAAGAGTGGTATCTTTGGTTGGCGTTGACGCACAAGGTAATGTATCATTTTCAATTGAAGCTTACTTGTAGTTTCGGGTTTGGTCAAGTGCGATACAAACCATATAGTAGGAGTCCCCCAAGTCTCTAAGCGAGGAGATCTGCCGAAGGAGGTGACAGACAAGGTAAGCAATCAGGGTTCCAAGCAATCAGTCTCAGATCGGTAGGTTGATCTTGGGTTCCGGCTGATTATACTCATTCTCCCTGTCTATCATTTAGCAATAAGGATAAAGAGAAGAAACAGGGAGAAGAGATGATATGAGGTACTTTTGTTTTTGGAGAAAATGGACAAATCGGCACGTGCTTTGTTGTACTTGACTTTCCATAGGTGTATTCTTGAACTAGGCTGGAGGGTTTTCTAGTTTCCTCCAAAGGAACGAGCCGACTCCAGAATTTGAGGGTCAAAACAAGTCCGTTAGACCTGGAGTATGCTCAATCCTGATGATATGGGATACTTTTGCTGTTTGACAAAGTAGTAGATGTGGTATGGCGAAGCTTTGTTCTTCGACGACGGTGCTAGCAAAAGGCTATTGAGGCTTCTCGATCTCTTCAATTAGAGAAATGATGTCGAGCTTGGATTTAACTTAGGCTCTTCCGTCTGGATTGTGAGGTTCCACAAGGAAGGGTGGCATGCTGTAGTGATATGTTCTAGCTCGCCGCTGAACCTTCTGCTTCAATCTTTTGTATAGCAGAAATGGTGCGCAACCTTTGCATTTAAATGGTCCTTCAGAGCACTACTTCTCAGTGACTCATCCATGCTTGGCAGCTTCAGTGTAAAGAGCCAATATCGTACCAACTGTTTTGAGGTATTTGCCGAAGGAATTCATGACCTTGACAACAGTTGAGGATGAGTACTCGAGAGCAATGTTAGGCAAGCGACCAGGCAAAGGTTCCGAGCAATCAGTTCTAGATCGGAAGTTTGATTTCAGGTTCCGACTGATTGCATTCTTTCTCCTTGTCCTGCAGGTAAGAGCAAGGGCAAAGGAAAAGACAAGGAAAAAGCATGATATGGGATACTCTTTCTTTCAACCCTGATGATATGAGATATTCTTGCTCTGATATGGTTGGTTGGCATGGATATTATCGAAGGAGAAGAGAATGGAGTATTTCGATAGGCTAGATTGGGAGTGCCATTTCGGATCTGGGGAAGGGTTGAGCAGTTTTTTGGTTTGGCAGGTCTGCCTGGCTGTGGAGGATGAAGGTCGACGTATATAGGAATTGTCCCAA